AAATTATCGCGGGCTGGTGGGGGTGGGAAGGGGGGAGGGGGGAGGAAAGAGAGTTTCAGAAAACAGTTCCCACTCCACGGTGCACCCTGTTGAAATTCCCCCTCCACTCCTGCCAGCCCTGTTGGATACCTTCCTGGAGATTATTCAGTCTCTGGGCACCAGCTTCCCCAAGCCCAGCCCCGAGGGGCTCAGATCTCCACTTAAGCACCTCCTCCTCCAGGGAGGCTGCCCACCCCCTATGGAGCTAAGTTCCTGTCCACTACCACTTATGACAAAACAGGCTCGTGGAAATGTGTTAGGAGTGAAGGAATGAGAAGGGCAGGATTGGGGTCAGGTTCCCTGTGCCAGATGGAAAATCTGCTCTTAACTCCCCCTTCATTGACCTCTGGACCCCTCGAGGTCTGACACCCCCCTCTCCACCAAGACACCTCTGTGCTACCTCTCAGGGGGTGGGAGGCTGGCCCCTTCCGTTCGCCTGGCAGGGTAAGAGTGCGAGTGGAGCAGCTAAGGCCCAGCTGTCTGCCTGCACTGTCGGAGCTCCTGCAAGGCCTGGGCTGATGGCTACTCTTTATTGAGGGCCTGTTTGCTATGTCGTAGGTGTGGTTCTAAACTTTTGACTTCCTTTCATGTAGCCCCACCCAAATCCCTGCACAGGGAGCTCTTGGGAATGTGACCCACCTCCTGAAGCTCAGGATTAGATCAAAGGAATCCCTTCATACACTCTTTATTGCAAATTTGAACAATACTGTACTTGGAAGATTAAAACTAGAGGATCTTGGGCCAGATCTCTCTCTCTCTCTCTCTCTCTCTCTCTCTCTCTCTCTCACACACACACACACACACACACACACACACACACACACACACACACTCCATCACCTTCCAGTCAGTTCTGACTCATGGGAACCCCGTGTGCTGCCTTTGCTCCATACGGTGGTCTTGATTCTAATCTTATGGAAGCAGATTGTCAGGACTTTCTTCCGGGGTCCTTCAGGGTGGGTTTGAACCCCTAACCTCTAGGTAGTAGAGTGCAAGCCATTTGCACTACCTTGGGACCTGAAAGTATACTTGTATATTATTCAAAATGGGAACATCCCATTCCCTGTCTGTGGGGGACCAGCCTCCCCACAGCTGAATGGGTCCAAGGGGCGGTTGTGTGATTGAGGGGTCAATTAAAGAGATATCAGACAAGAGAAAGCATGCAAGTGCTCACCTCCGGGACCGCCATGACTTCAGCAGCAGCTCTGCAAAGAGACAGCGAGTAAAGTAATCTCACAAATTTATATAATCTCGGGCACACAGGCCATGGTAAGCATGGTAACAGGAAGGGGTGTTACACTAGATAATACACCTAAAAGTAGGGAGATGAGCTAGGGGTATACACGTAATAGGAAGGGGAGGCACTAGGGGCATACATGTGACAGGAAGGCACAAGTGTAACAAGAAGGGTGGGCTCTAGAATCAAGATGGCAGCCTAACCTTGGCCATCTGTCTGAGTTGGCTTGATCTTAGGCATCTTTGGGCTCTCCATCAGGGGAACAATCCATTATCCTGACCAGAAGGGAGTGGGCCCTGCTTAGGGTGGGACAGACAATAGAGTCTGATTGCCTTAGCTGGCTGACAACCTTCGGGCAGATAATCTTCAAGCAGTGAACCTCCAAGTGTATAGTCAGTGAGCATGCGTTTGCAAACAGCACCCTCATTTTGGTATTATGATGGGGGGACATCGTGGGGCATAACTTTTACTTAAGAGAATGTGAGTGGGATGCATCTCTAACCCACGAATGTGAAGGTTTACTCCGCGGGATCCTTGGCCTCCCAGACTCCTTACTACATGAATGCTCAGAGTTTGTCGGCATCCACTCTTTCCGGTTCTTTTTCCCACATCTGTCTCAGCCCAATCGTTTGGCAGAGTGCCACCTGCCATGTTATCATCTGCTTGGGGCTCTGGAGTTCGTATCCTGCTGGACTCTCCCTCGAATATCACGCCCCCGCCTTGGTGGGAGGTTTTTGTCCACGAAGGGGTGCCGTGGGATAAAGCCCTGGAGACCCACTTCTGAAAAAACAGCCATTGAGAGCCCTGTGGGGCACAGTGCTCCTCTGACATGTGGAGTCGCCAGGAGTCTGAATGCACGGGACAGCAAGTGGCTCTTGGCTCCCACCGAGGATGGGGGGCACCCCCGCGGAATGGGGGGCCCTGGGAGATGGCAGGCTGTGGGAGCACATATCCTATCCTCTGGCTCCGTGATCATGAGCGCCACGGGGGCCAGATCTCTGGTGAGATTAGCACGACCCAGACGGGCTCAGCCACCGAGCCCTGGGGATAGAGACTGACCAAAGGGCTGCTGAGTGGCGCAGAGAACAAGCCCGGGGTCGGACTTGGAGAAACACACAGGCACGGGCCCCGAAGTACAAAATAGGTGCTTTTATTGAAAGTTTTATAAAAAGGGGAGGGCGTGTGAAGGGAGCCGTGGGCTGGGCTTGCGCCAGCGGCGTTGTCATGGGGGAGGGGGCGGCGACAGGCGTCCCCCCTTCCATGTGTCTGTCAATCTCCCGGGGCGCGCGCTCAGGCCCGGGGCCGGGCGGGCGCGCAGTGGTGCGGCTGCGGGGACTGCACGAAGCCCGGGCGGCACAGGCAGCGGAAGGAGCCGTCGGTGTTGATGCAGCGCGCGTTGATGCAGACCGGGGCGGCCTCCTCGGCCTCGGCGCACTCGTTGATGTCTGGAGGGGGGACAAGGGGTGCTGTTCATGGCTGGGGACCTGAAGGACGTCTCGGGGTCCCTGAGGTCCCCGGGGCAGAGGAGGGCAGGTGTTGAAGGGGCTGCTGGGCCGGCATCTGGCCTCTGCTACTTGTTGGCTGCGCTGTGTGAGCCTGGACGGGTGGGTGACCCTCTCTGTGCTTCCGCTGAATGCTCTGTAATCTGGGCACGGTCGCATTCACTGCCATCGAGCAGATGCCAACTCATGGTGACCTCATGGGACAGGGTAGAACTGCCCCTGGGGGTTTCTGAGACGGCGACTCCTTGGGAGTAGAAAGCCCCATCTTTCTCCCACGGATCGCCTGGTAGTTTCAAACGGCTGACCTTGGCGTTAGCAGCCCAGCGAATAAGCACTCGGCCAGCCTCATTCTGGTGAGGGGTGTGGTGGCCTCTCAAGAAACCCCCAAACAAACAAACAAAAAACTTCCAAACGAACTGCCCTGGAGTGGATCCTGACACTTACCCACCCTCGTGGACAGAGCAGACTGTCCCTGTGGGTGTCCAAGGCCCCGTGTATGGGGCAGACAGGATACAGCTGGTGGGTTTGAAGTGAATCACTATCTGTTGGTGAGCAGCTCAAACGCTTCACCCACATACCACCAGGGCCCTTTTCTCACCCGAAAATTGACCCCAAACCCAAGCCGTTGAGAAAAAGATCCTGTCGCCTCTTTCTTCCTCAGAGCAGCTGGTGGTTTCGAACGGCTGACTCAGCAGTTCTGCTCACGACCCCACTACACACCGGAGCTCCTGCGGTAATATCCCCTCTGCCCCTGACACACACAAAGTAGTGTGCCTATGGGAAACTACCCGAGGGAAATATGACGAATCTATTCCCTAACTGATCACAGAGGGAATTTGGAAAGCTGGTCTTCCATGATAGGAGAGCCACCACTTTGGTAAGTTAGAGATAAAGTCCAAGTCCATGATCCTGCTTTAAGTATCATTCCCACAGATGCTCCCCTAACAGCCATGGTGCCTTAAAGTGAGCACGTGGTTGATTGTATCTCCCTATAGAAGCAGACATGATCCTTTTGCTCTCTCTTCCTGCTGTGACACCCAACCCCCCCTATATGTCCCCCCAGGGCAGGTATTAGGTTTCCTCACCTATGCGCTCAGGGTCCTGACTGTAGATTCCACCCACCTTGTGACAGATGTAGCTACTGAATATGCATAAACTATCTCACATGTCTTTTTTTTTTAATCATTGGGGTTCGTACAGCTCTTATCACAATCCATCCATCCATCCATTGTGTCAAGCACATTTTTATATTTGTAGCCATCATCATTTCCAAAACATTTTCTTTCTACTTGAACCCTTGGTATTGGCTCCTCATTTTTTTCCCTCCCTCCCTCGCTCCTGAACTCTTTATAATTTATAAATTATTATTTTTCATGTTTTACACTGACCAATGTCTCCCTTCACCCACTTTTCTGTTGTCTGTCCCCCTGGGAGGGGGTTATAGGTAGATCGTTGTGATCGGTTCCCCCTCTCTCCTCCTACCTTCCCCTTCCCCTCCTGGTATCACTACTCTCATTATTGGTTCTGAGGGGGAATATGCATATCTTATGCCTACCTATAAATGCCCCAAGATGGTAAAGACTCGCTTCTGTCCCTCTTCCACGTGGACCACCAAGAGGGACTGAGGGGAGCTTGCTACCATAAAATGTGTCTGGTTCCTTTATTTTGTTCTCCGTCCTATCTTTCCTACCCTCTATGACTTTACTATGATCTTTATACATCACCGTCGTACGATCGTGTCTACTGGCCCTTCGCAGGTTAGAGGATGGTTTCCTCTGATATATGCCCACTGAACAGACAGGAAGGCTGAAGCTTTTCAAAGATGTGCACCAAAGTGGCCAAGGCGGGACCCCTGAGAAGTCATAGCTGCCCTTTTCGCCTGGTTCAGGAGGAGCCCTGTGGCCTAGAGGGTTAGGCATTGGGGTTCTAACTCCACGGTCGGTAGGTCAAGCCCACCAGTTGCTGTGTGGGAGAAAGATGAGGCTCTCTGCCCCATCAAGATTTACTGTCCTCTACCCTGTTCTATAGGGTCGCTACGAGTCAAGATCAACTCGATGGCAGCAAATTTAGCCTGTGTCAGAAGGAGCCTTCTTGGCCCCATGGGTTAGACCTGGACTGCTCTAGCCCAGGGTTGGCGCTTCAAACCCACCAGCCACTCTACTAGAGAAAACTGAGGCAGGCTGCTCCCGTAAAGGGCGAGGGTCTCACAAACCATGGGGAATAATTCTGCTCCGTCCTAGAAAACACAAAACCCAGTCATTGCCACCAGAGTCCATTCTGACTGATGGTGACCCCATAGGACAGCATAGAACTGCCCTGTGGATTTCTGAGATGGTAACTCTTTACAATAGCGGTTTCTCAACGTGTGGGTCTCAACCCCTTTGAGGGTCACCCGATTCATAACAGTAGCAAGATGACAGTGATGAAGTAGCAAGGAAAATATACTTATGGTTGGGGGGGTCACCACAACAGGAGAATTGTATTAAAGGGTCGCGGCATTAGGAAGGCTGAGAACCACTGTTTTATAGGAGCAGAAAACCTCTTCTTTCTCTGGCAGAGCGGCTGGTAGTCTCGAACTTCTGATCCTGAAGATGTAACCACTAGGTCACCTGGGCTCCACTCTGTCCTATAGGGTTACAATCCCTGTGATGACAGTGAATATCCTGTTTCCGGGCTTGCCCTTGACTAAGCCTTGCCTTCTATGAACGCTGGCCCTGCCCATTGGGCCAATATCCTTTCAGAAGTCCCTAACCCGCCCCACTTACTCAGGGCTCCTTGCTTACTGCGGTCCCCACCTCTCACCGCATGCGTGCGCTGGTCCTAGGCCCGCACTCACCAACACAGGCCATGCGGGTCATGTCCAGGCGGTAGCCGTCGAAGCAGTCACAGGTGAAGCCCTCGGGGACGCGCACGCACCGGCCATGCGCACAGCCATCCAGGATCCCGCACTCCTCCGCCTCCAGACCTTCGTAGGGTCCCGCCAAGGCCCCTGAAGAAAATGCGTGGTCTGTGGTCTCAGGGTCCCCACCTCCTGCCTTTTGACTCCCTCCGCGTCGCGTTCTAAACTGCCCACCCCTCCTCAGGGCTGTAGGGACAGGGGGACTGTCTCACTCTGCACCTGGCTTTCCCCTCCCCCTCATCTTCCTCTGTGAACCCCCCCACCCCCCAACTCTACTTCCCTTGGAACGCGCTGCCAACAGACTCGGTTCTAACTCTCCCTGGTTCTGTTTTCACATCTGGGTCCCTAACCCTGCCTCTGTTGGCCTCCATGGATACTTTCCCGCCCTCCTCCCGGGCCCGTGATCCCAGGTCTCTGGCCCTCACCCGCATAGCCTCCACCTTCGGGCAGCTCCTCCGGCTCCCGGAAGGAGCCACGGGTATCACGAGACCGGTAGCTCCAGCGGGGGTCCGGGCCGGGTGGGGCAGGATCCTCTGACTCGTCGTAGGAGTCACCGTCGTCCTCAAAGTCAGGCAAGTCAAAGGGGGGCACCCCGTAGGGAGCTTCCCGCCGGGCGAAGGGCCCAGGGGGCAGTGGGTAGGGGTCGTACGGGAGCGCAGGGGGTGGATACAGCTCAGGCCCATATGGGAGGCCCTGGTAAGGCAGTCCTACATCCGGGCCGTACTCATACGGGAGTCCGAAGCCACCTGGCCGCGGGGGGCTGTAGGCCGGGGGCCGCAGCACGTTGCACAGGGCCTCAAAGTCGTCTGGGAGGGAGAACGAGATCAGTGAGCCAGCCGCCCTGGCCTCTGCACCCACTATTCCTGTCCCCACTCTGGGAAGGGGTTGGGCCGGATCCTGGATTGAGGGGCTGAGGTCTGGGCCTGGGAATCCCTGGAGAGCTAGGAGCCTGAAGGAAAGGGGTGTTTCTTGGGCTGGGACTAAAGAACCTCAGGGTGCCAGGGGCTCGGGTGATGGACAGGAGACCTGAGCAATGGGCCTTGGCGATTTGAGGATCCAGGATTTGGGGGGCTGGATTCCCAAGGGCTGAAGAGAAGGGCCTCTAGGGCGGGGTTGCGGGAGTCTAGGGCTAAAGCTTAGGGGTCCCTGAGCTAGGGGTTGGGTCCTGGACACCTGGAGGTGGCTGTCCACAGGGGTGGTACGTGGAGGTGTGTGAGGCTATGACCAGGGAGTCTTGGCGCCAGAATGGCAGGGTCTGAGCCACTGGTATGTGAGGTCTAAACACCTGGGCTTTGGGGAGGGGACCTTATGAGCTGTGTCATGAGGGTTGGAGAGACCAGATGGTGGGTGCCGATTGGGCAGGAACTCTGGGGTCTGCTGAGCCAGGCCTTGGGGTTTCTGTGGCTGAGATGTGAAAGCCCTTTGGGATGGATGCGCCATGGGGTGAAAGGGATTAAGATTTAGGCCTGGATCTTGGGGTCCAACTTAGGAGGCAGCTGGGAGGTTCCCCTTGAAAGCCAAGGGACAGTGCCTCTATGCTCGGGGATGACTGTACCTGAGTCCTGGGCGGGGCACAGGGCGCAGTCCATGCCCCAGGCCTCGCCGTACAGACAGCAGCATTCTGTGTAGGTGGCCTGGCGGTCCAGCCGGGGGCGACTGCACACGAGGTCTGCCCCCACTTCCTGCCAGCACACGCCCAGATTGTCATCTGAGGGCAGAGGGGAGGCCAAGATCAGGGGTGTTCAGGGAACCTCCCGATGCCCCCAGTCCGCCCCCCTTCCTCTGCTGGGGCAACCCAGGCAGCCTCTGTCCAACATCACACCTCGCCCATCGCTGGGGTTCAGACCCCCAGCCGCCCTCTGAGGTAGGTCCCAAGGTCTGGGCAGGGAGCTGGATTGAGGACAGACTTGGCCTGGCATAGACTGACATACAGGGGGGAGGGCAGAAGAAGGGCCCCGTGGCGGGGGCATGGAGTCTGATAGGCTGCTCCCCAGGCCCAGCTGAGGGATGGCTGTGTAACCTGGACTCCTCGTCTTTCCCCTTCGGCTCTGGTGTGAATGAACCCTCAGGGGCCCAAGAAGAAATTGTGGGGGCAGGAAGTGCGAGAAGGTGAAAGGGTAGGTCAGTGGGCAGACAGAGAGAGGGAGAGGCAGAGCCCCAGAGAGAGGAAGCCAGACAAAAAGAGGAGAGGTCTCTGCGTGGGTGCTGCTCTCCAGAGACAAAGGGACCACGGACAGAGAGAGCCAAGAATTGAGAGAAAGATCGAAAGACATAAATTCCCAGGAAGGTGGAGAGAGGCAGACACACATCAAAATGATAGCCCCTAGCATTTAGGGAGACCCAACCCAGTCTACAAAAAACAAACAACCCTGCTGCCATCGGGTGGAGCCCAACTAGAGACCCTAATGTTTCTCCCACGGGGCCACCAGGCTCCTTTACCCCCAAAACAACTCCAGCCTCACCACCATCAAGTCCGTTCCAGCCCACACGGCCTTATAAGACGGGGTAGAACTGCCTCTGTGTGTTTCTGAGACTGGAACTCTTTACTAGAGTAGAAATCCCCGTCTTTTTCCCTTGGAGGGGCTGGTGGTTTTGAAATGCTGACTGCCCATCTCGGTAACCACTGAGCTTCCAGGGCTCCTGAAAATCCCTCCCAGCCCCTCCTTAATGTTGGGACGACTGTCATCACTTAGGATGCAGGAAGGAAGCTGGGGGACACGGGGATCAGCAATCCACATGTTTGCTGGGCCAGTCAATGGCAGGATGCCTCTGAAACCATCCCCATCACTGAAACCATCTCCTCTAACATCCCGTGGAGCCCTGGTGGCATGGTAGGTTAGCAATGGGCTGCGAACCCATAAGGCCAGCAGTTCAAACCCAGCAGCGGTTCCAAGGGAGAAATATGAGGCTGCTGTCTGCTCCCTTGAAGATGTACAGCCACGTAACCCCCGGGAGCGGTTCTACCCTGTCCTATAGGGTCCCGATGAGCCGGAATCAACTTGCTGGCAGTGGGTTTAATCTCCAGCCTTCACAGACCGCCCAGATGGGCCCTTGGGCGTGGCCATCGCGGGGGCGTGACCATCGCAGGGGCGTGGCCTGGGCAGGAGCCCTAACCCTGGGAGCCGGGGGCTGACCGTGTGGGCGGGCCCGGGGTGGGGCCTAGTGGGGCGTGGCCATCTCAGGGGCGTGGCCTGGGCAGGAGCCCTAACCCTGGGAGCCAGGGGCTGGCTATGTGGGCGGGGCCGGGCCTAGCAGGGGTGGGCCCGGGGCGGGGCCTAGC